CTGGCGCCTATCTTCTCAAAGCTGCGAGACCACCAGATTCCATACCTCTGGCTACATGACATCCTTTCAGAGAGCTTTTCACGGGTGGGGTATAAGAAGGACTCCCTCAGAAAGGGAGGACGCTGGTTCTCCTTAAGAGCTCGTCACCCTCTCCTTTCCCTGCAATAAATTTCCTTTTCTTGCCTGACTGCCCGGCTCGCTCTCTTTTTCTGTGAGCTCCCCTTACACCCACCACTCCCTCCTCCAACGCACTCTCCAAAGCTTTTCCATCATCTTTCACTGCAGGCTCCAAGCCCTCTGCCTCAAAGGCCTTTCCTCCTTGTTGCCTCTTGACGGACTCCTGCACATCCTTCAAGACCCAGCTTAAATGTCACCTCGTCTGGGTCTTCCTCTGGCAGAACTTGACACTCTCCTCTCTGTTACATGTCTCTCATAGCTCTGCTCACAGTGCCACACCCAATCTATTCATGTGTCTCCTCTCTCCTGCACTTGGTAATAGCTTGGAGGAAGAATGCAGAGGAGGGTAGTTGTGTGTGTCTCCCTTTGCAGAGTGCATGCGCTTCACACACCATTCATTCCATAAATGTAAACAGAGGCCTATCAGGGTACCTAACAGGCCGCATACTAGGCATCCAGGGTCCAGCACTGCCCCACACGTGTGTAGCCCTGTGGCCTGTGTGTGAGAGCGTGAGTGTGGGATATGCCATGCTCGCTGTGGACCTGTGGTATTTGTGGCTCTCAGACACATTGTCCATTGAATTCAGGCCCATGTGACCTGCTGATAAAGGACATCTTAGAAGCTAACCCAACTGCATCCAGGCACTAATGAGATACCCTCCAGGGTACGCCCTGCCTACCCTCCCCACTCCCCAACAGTCACTGCCTGACCCAAGTCTTGTCTTTTTATCCCAAGACATCATCCATCCCATGGATGGTGATTTTCTCTGGTGAGTCATCTGCCTCCCATCCTTTCTTTGCCTTCCTTCATCTCAGGGAGAAGAAGTGAGGAATAGGGAAAGGGAGAGGACGCCATATGGGGACCCACCACAGGCCAGGCATGTGCAGGCGGTTCACACGTCAGAGGCAGTGGTGGGAAGGGCCTCCTCTGCGCCGGGCACTGTCTGGCACTGTGCCTCTGTTGGCTGGGCTAATCCTCGGGCCAACCCTCCGAGGTGGGTGATGCTACTGTCCACTGCACAGACAGGGAACCGACGCCCAGCATGGAGATGCAGCGGCCAAGCCGGATTCAGGCCACAGAGCCACCGCCTTGCACTGCACTTACCGTCCTCACACGGCACACCTCTTGGGCACAAGATGTCTCATTGTATACCCGAGAAACAGACCTGAGTGTACCAGAGGTGAGATTCAAATCCAGGGCTGTGAGATTCCAGATGCAGTGCTGTGGGCCCACATGTAGGGGTGTCTGAGCTCCAGGTGTAAGGGAGTGAGACCCAGATGCAGATGTCGCCTGGCGTCAGGCACTTCCTTCGTCTGCCTGTCCCATTAGACAGGGAGGCACCTGCTCTGGACAGGACTTGTCCACCCCGAGTCCTTTCTGCTGGAGCTCACCTTCAAGGCCATTCTTATATCCTTGTGTCTCTGGGCCCCCATCTGTGTGCCAGGTGGCGCTAGTGGTAAAGAACCCGCCTGCCAACGCAGGAGACACAAGAGACCTTTGTTCAATCCCTGCGTCGGGAAGATCCCCTGAAGGAGAAGGGCGTGGCAACCCACTCCCGTGTTCTTGCCTGGAGAATCCCGTGGACAGAAGAGCCTGATGGGTTGCAGTCCATGGGGGTCACAAAGAGTCAGACACGACTGAAGAGACTTAGCCCACACCCAGGTAGGGAGACCCTGCCAACCTCTCCTGACCCTCTCTTTATCCGTGTAACCTAGCGCCAAACACAGCACCTGGCACAGAGCCAAATCTCAGGAATGATTCTTACATTTAAAGAATGGGATAGGGAGTAGCTCCTCGGGGCCAGGGGTGGAGGGTGAAGGACAGGCAGCTGCGTAGGGGTTGGGGAAGGGCTCCGTGTACATATTTTGGGGAGAGATGGGGCTGTGTATGTAGGGGACAGGTTGAATTTCTGTGTAACCCTTCATGCGCTCAGTGTCAGGGTGCAAAGATGGAACTAGATTCCGGCAGCAATGGGAGCCTGGGCCTAGCGACTGTTCCCGGCCGTCTGTGCGGTCGAGAGAGGCTGTGCAGCTGGTGCTGGACTTATCAGCTGGTAATTAAGGCCAAGTGGGTGAGTTCCTGAGGGTCTGGGGCTGATCTGTGTTGCATCTTGCTAACAACAAGCTCCTAAAAATGTCCACTGGTGGGGAGTGATTTGCTCATTCAACAGGCGAGTCCCACCTGGAGCCAGTTCAAATAAAATCAACTATTTTGATGGCGTCCGATGATAATGTGAAAGCTCAGGGCCATGGAAAGCTTAGGCCGAGATGAGGCCCTAAGCCATCTGGGGCTGCACAATCAGGGAAAGCTTCTTGGAAGAGTAGGCCAGGCAAGGAGAAAGGTGAGGGAAAGGCAGTCAGGTGGGGGCTATTGATAGGCAAGAGCATGTGGGCTGGAGACAGAATTTGGGACTCAGCCCCACAGGTCACTGAAGCCGTGAGAACGAAAGGCCCTGAGGAGTAACTGGAGAGGGAGGAGAGTCTGGAGCAGCCTACAGGGTCCCAGGAGGTATCAGAAGGGATTTCTGGAGAGGACGGGCCTTGGCTCCTCCCACACAAGGCCAGGGATGGGAAGACAGGCCGGGGGTCAGAGTGGACCTGTGGTTGTCCCCAAGAGGATGCCAGGAGTTTTAGGCTCAGCGCCATGAAAGGAGGGCAACCCTAAGTTTCCTGGGCCTCATGAGAGGCAGTCCTGGGAGGCTGGGGCCCAGCCAAAGGCAGTTCCCCGCCCAGCTGCTGCTCCTCCTCCTGGCCCGCGCCACACCCAGGCTGCCTGCCGAAATCTGCAGGCTCTGTCCTAGGTTTCCCCAAACACCCTCCCTGGTTCTGGCATGTTTGCCGGCTGCCGGCCGAGTTGCAGTGCTGGCGGCCAGGACCCGGCACCCAGAGAGCCCTGAGGAGCAGCCGCTCAGGTAAGGCCAAAGGGCATCTGTGTCCGGAGGCACACCCAGCCTGGGGACGACTTTGCTGGCTGCGAGTCGGGGGAGTGGCCGGGGCGCATGGCCATCCTGCCGGTGCAGAAGGGAAGGGCCCCTCCCGCCCCTGCTCTGGGTTTTCCCCTTTGTCCTCAGCTGTGAGCAGAGGTGGGAGCCGGGGACGAGAGAGAGGGGCTCACAGGGGGGCCAGGAGCTGATCAGGTGGGGCATCCCTGCCTGGGCCTGCGAAACCCCGCCCCCGCTCTGGGTTGGGCTGGGCAGGGAGCCCCCGGGCTGGTGCCTCCTCGGATGCTGCCTGAGAAGCGGCCAGGGGTTCCGCCCACCTCAGGCAGGACTGAGCAGAGACCAGTGGGTGACTCAGAGCAGGGGCCCCATGTTCAAGCTGTAGGTGGTAGAGACAGGATGGCAGAGAGACAGGGTTGGGGGCAGTCCCCGCCTCCCTCCCTGGGGAGGGCACACGGGAGGCTTCCCACAACCTGAGGAAAGGGGCCCAGACCCAGAGTGTGGGCCATGAAGCTAGCCTGCCTGGGTTCAAACCCCAGCTCTGCGGCTCACCGTCTGTCACTGTGGGCAAAGGAACTTTGTGCTCCACTTTCCTCATCTGTCAACGGGGACAAACCTGTGCCCTTCTGTACAGTTGCTGTGTTAATTCATGCCAAATGCTCAGATAACATGAGGGGAGGCAGAGGGGAGGACAGCATGGTGACATTTGACCTGGAGCAGACTTGGAAATGGCAGCAGAAACCCCTTAAAGCAAGAGGCTGTGCAGACAGGCTCCCTCAGGTTCTGGAAAGCCCAGGATGGTAAGACCATGCTGCATGCATCAGTGGACCCCCCAGGAACCAGATAGAGTTTCCAAGAGCACACACAGGCACTCCTCACTCTGAACCATAGTCACGTTGCCTAATTGGAGGTAAATCAGATTCCTGTGTGTTCACAAACTCGCCAGTAGAACTGACCAGAGTGGCATTTCTCATTTTGGTGTCTTGACAAGGCTGTCCCACAAGATGACAAAAAGAAAAGTTTCTGTGATCAGAAGAGATGGTGCAGTGCTACCTATTCTTTCCCCCTTATTCATGTGAATGTATTCACAGGGTCAAGCAAAGGGACCTGTTTAACTTTGCACTGAAAACAGTGCTTGCCTACTTTTCTTAAACATGGAATCCTTCTCTTTGCTTCTGTTGCCAGGCCACTGAGCAGGGTTCCACGGAACGCCAGGTTGGGAAGCACAGAACATGAGGCTCCTCTTTGAAGCCTAACATACAAAGAGAATCAATGGTCCCTCCTTTTTGTTTCAACTGGTGTGCCATTGGCCTTGCTTCAGATGAGTCACACATGAGCAGGACAACTGTCTGGATAGTTCTAATGTTAGACCAGATGGGAGTGTGGGGACAAGGTTCCAACCTTCTCTTTAGCCCCATCTCCCAAGCCAAGTAAAAGGCACAGAACAGGTTCCCCTTGGGAGGAGGCTGTCTAAGGGGAGAGAGCCGTGCTCAGAAAGGAAAAAAAAGTCATTCCAAAATCTGGACCACTGAGGAGGAAGGGTCAGGATTAAAAACAGAGAGGGAAGGTGGCATTAGCCACCCCCTAAGCCCTGGGAGGAGCAGGCAGCTTCGCTCACTTTTATGGGGGAGAGTTGGTGCTGGGCTGAATTACCTGTGCTACAGGCCCACCTCTGCACCTGACCAGGTGTGACCCTGCATAACCCCTCTGAACCTTAGATTCCCCCGTCTGTAAAGGCGACGAGGATAGAGCCCAGCTCTGCCATGGCCATGAGGATCAAAGCTGATGACCCAGTTCTATAAAGCAGGGAGAGGCAGTGCTCTCTAAACCTGGGAAATGACCATCATCCTCTCTCCACAGCAGCCGCCAACGCCGGGGGCCACCATGAACTGGGGGATCTTCGAGGGGCTCCTGAGCGGGGCCAACAAGTACTCCACAGCCTTCGGGCGCATCTGGCTGTCCCTGGTCTTCATCTTCCGCGTGTTGGTGTACCTGGTGACGGCCGAGCGAGTGTGGAGCGACGACCACAAGGACTTCGACTGCGACACTCGCCAGCCGGGCTGCTCCAACGTGTGCTTCGACGAGTTCTTCCCCGTGTCCCACGTGCGCCTCTGGGCCCTGCAGCTCATCCTGGTCACATGCCCCTCACTGCTTGTGGTCATGCACGTGGCCTACCGCCAGGCCCGGGAGAAGAAGTACCAAGAGGCCATCGGGAAGGACGGCGGGCGTCTCTACCTCGACCCCAGCAAGAAGCGGGGAGGGCTCTGGTGGACATACGTCTGCAGCCTGGTGTTCAAGGCGGGCGTGGATGCCACCTTCCTCTACGTGTTCCACTCCATCTACCCCAGGTACACCCTCCCCCGCGTGGTCAAGTGCCACGCGGACCCATGTCCCAACGTGGTGGACTGCTTCATCTCCAAGCCCGAGGAGAAGAACATCTTCACTCTCTTCATGGTGATCACAGCCCTCATCTGCATCGCCCTCAACCTGGTGGAGCTGGCCTACCTGGTGAGCAAGAGATGCCGAGAGTGCCTGGCAGCCAGGAAAGCCCGGTCTGAGAGCCTGGACCACCATCTGGACTGGGTCACTGCTTCTTCCAAACACGGCGACCTCCTCTCGGGCGACCTCATCTTCCTGGGCTCAGATGTTCCCCCTCCACTCTTACCAGACCACCCTCAGGACCACGTGAAGAAAACCATGGTGTGAGGGGCTGCCTGGTCAGGCCTGGGTTGGAAGGACCCAGGAGCCAACGTGCAGCCCTGGGGGTGGCGGTGCTGAGCTGAGAGTAGGGGCAGCCAAGAGGGAGAGTCAGGTGGCCTGGGTTCAAATCATTTCTCCCCAAGCTCCTGCCACCTGCACCAGCTGTGTGGCCTTGGGCAAGTGACCGCCCGGAGCTGAACCTCGGTTTCCTTTTGTATACAATGGAGATGATGAGCCCTGCTGCACCAGGCCGTCGCTGTGAGGAGGGGTTTAATAAGAGAATATACATGCACATGCCTCCAATGTGTGGGGTTCTTGGTCAGGGCTTAATAAAATTCAATTCATTCACTGATTAAAGGTGACCTTTGCTCCTTCAACCTTGGCGAGCCTTATCGACTCCTTTCATCAATTTCTTGGCCCTTGCACAGGGCTGCACTTGATCTAGCCAGGTAAGAGCCCCGCCCCACCCCAGCACTCCTAGGGAGTCTTGCTCCTTGCTTGGGTCAAATCTAGCCTTTATCCCCAGGTGCAGTTTTAGGCCCATGGGTTGTCTGCAAAGAGAATGAAGCTTAGTGAATAAGCAGTCGTGTGTCTCAGGGGAAAGTTCATGGACTTCTGAGTCCTACCACTTGACTTTGAACCCAAGTTCCACTGGGACTCTGGGAGAGCAACTGCAGCTCCTCTCCAAAGTGGGTTAATAATATCGAGCTGGTGGGATTGCTGCAAGGCAGGATGAGCTCACAGTTGCAGACGAGGTTAGCTGGCTGTAAAAGGCCACATAAATGTTAATCATTGGTATTAGGAAGTGCTCTATAAATGCTTGTGGGAAATGAGACAGAGGCGCCCCTCCCTGGCTGCACATTAACCCCTACCTCAGGCCCAAGGCCCCTGTGCAGCCCCCACCAGCTCAGGCTCTTACTTCCTCAGAAGCCCAGGCCCGTGGAGGGTAGGCCGGGAGGCCGTGCCTGGCCCCATGCCAGCTGGAGAATTTCATGCCACAACCTTCATTCCTTGTCTCCACCTGGGCAGCGGTGCCTCATCGAGAGGAACGGAGGGTGGGTGGGTGGGTAGGCCCTCCTACCCCCACATGTCTCACCAGCACTCAGATACGTCCTGCCAGAGGCAGGGAGCAGGAAGAGGGGCAGTGCAAACCTGGGCTGAATCAAGGTTGCCCCTTTCCATAGATGCGAGCTGCTGAGGGTCTCAGCACCAGGCTTCCGGAGAAAAGGGTAGGAGAGAGGCCTAGGGACAAGAGGATGGGGACATTTAGGCAACGGCGTGGGAAGCGGGGGCAGGAAAAAGGCCACTTGGTGCTGACCTGGGCCTGAGCATGAACATACCAGGCTCCGGCACCTGCTCAGGCAGTTTCACCCATATACCTGTCAGCTTGGCGAGCCGGACCCAGCCATGCCCACTGAGCTGCCGAGAAGGCGTGGGCCAGCGGAGAAGAGCCACGGGTGTTTGCTCTGAACGTGTGCCGGGAAGTCCGCCCACCTGCCTGCCCACCCGGTCACTCCCGTTTGGCTCACTAGTTCAGAAAGCCCCACCCAGCAGGGGAGTGAGGAACAAAAGCTGCCTCCAGGAAGTCCCCAGGCAGACAGGCAGACACGCCAGCCCAGGGACGGGAGAGTGGCTGCTAGAACCACGCAAGGTGAGGACCAGATCCGGCAGACGACTGAGCTGGGAGGCAGAGGCCAGGTGGGCTGAGGATCCCAGGGCACCAAGGGCTGTCAGTTGGGCTTCGGGAGACGTCGGGGGAGACAGGATCTCTGGAGAAACTCCCGGGAAGCCTGAGGGAAGGGGAAGGACTGTCCTGCCAGACAGAAGGGAAGACGGGAGATTAGAGATGAGATAACAACCCACTCCAGTACTCTCGCCTGGAAAATCCCATAGACGGAGGAGCCTGGTAGGCTGCAGTCCATGGGGTCGCTAGGAGCGCGACCTCACTTTCGCTTTTCACTTTCATGCATTGGAGAAGGAAATGGCAACCCACTCCAGTATTCTTGCCTGGAGAATCCCAGGGACAGGGGAGCCTGGTGGGCTGCCGTCAATGGGGTCGCACAGAGTCGGACACAATTGAAGTGACTTAGCAGCAGCAGCAAGTAAGAGGCGGGATGAGGAAGAAGTGGGGTTTCAATTGGGTTGAGCACACACAGAACACATAAATGTCTATTGTGTGTTCACTGGTCCAGGCTCAGTACTGAGTCCTAGGGAATCAGAGATGAATGAGATACAGAGGCTGCCCTCCAGAAGCTGACAGTCTGGCATGGAAAACAGGTAAATAGACCATTTAAGTACCCGTGAGGCACTCTGCCAGGACAGATGGAGGAGGGTGCTTAGAAAATGTCCCAAAGGCACAAGGTCTGAAGATGGCTGATACCTGAGTCAGGGGCAGGAGAGGGGCCAGAGGCAGAGGTAAGACAAGATGGCATGCCAGCTGAGGGGTGTGGAGGATGGAGCACGCAGGACATGGCCTGAATGACACAGTGGCCCACGTGGGCAGCAAACAGCCAGCGAGCCGATGGAGAAGGAAGGTATCCCTGAAAGCAAAGGTAGATGATTGGGGGAGGACCATGCCAGAATCTTGCCTCTGGTCTTACTCAGTCCCTCCCAAAGACTGGAATGGTTAGAATTCCAGAGAATCCACTGGGGTCAAGACAGTCAGCCCTCAGGCCCAGCGCCGAAACAGGAGGTGGGAGGATCATACCAAGCCTCCGTGATTCCAAAGAGCCTGTTTGCTTTGGAAGGGAATGTCAGGTGGGGGACGTCCTGGAGCCAGAGAGAAGATGAGGGTAGATATCATCTGAGGTCTGCACAGGGCCTGGGTCAGGCCGGTGCTCAGTTGGAGGAGGTTGAAGAATAAAGATACATGTCCCTCAGACTTCCCTGGTGGTCCAGAGGTTAAGACTCCAGGCTTCCACTGCAGGGGGCATGGGTTCAATCCCTGATTGGAGAAGTTCTGCATGCTATATGGTGTGGCAGAAAAAAACAAAAAAAACAGATACACATCCCTCCCCTCCTGCCCAATCCAGGCTGGCAGCTGACCGAACAGTGGATCATCCAACCCACATTTTTGTACTGTTTCTTTAGAAGTTGTGTGACCCACAGAGCTGAAGGTTGGAGTCAGCGAGGTTGGTAGGCACATCATTACAGGATGATTACCCTTCACGTGTACCTGTTACTTTATAGAATAAAATATGTCCTGATTTTGTAACTGGAAGATGGAAACTTAAGACCAGCTCTGCCACTTCCAGCCATGCGCCTTGGGCGGGTGCCTCTCGGGGCTTTAGCTCCCTCCCTCTGAATCTAGGGTGATGGCAATCCCTACCCCACCAAGTCATGGCCAGTGCGGACATGATAACGTGGTGGTTGTGAAATCATGTGCCCATCACACCCTTAATGAAGGTGCCCATTTCCAGGTTCTTCCAGCCCTGTGACGCCGGGCCGAGATCGTCCACTCAGGGAAGCAAGGCCGGGTCAGCATGAACTGGGCGTTCCTGCAGGATGTGCTGAGCGGGGTCAACAAGTACTCCACGGCGCTGGGCCGCATCTGGCTGTCCGTGGTCTTCATCTTCCGCGTGCTGGTCTACGTGGTGGCGGCGGAGGAGGTGTGGGACGAAGAGCAGAACGACTTCGTCTGCAACACCAAGCAGCCAGGCTGCCCCAACGTCTGCTACGACCAGTTCTTCCCCGTGTCCCACGTGCGCCTCTGGGCCCTGCAGCTCATCCTGGTCACGTGCCCCTCGCTCTTCGTGGTCATGCACGTGGCCTACCGCCAGGAGCGGGAGCGGAAGCACCGCCGGAAGCACGGGCCCCACGCCCCGTGCTTGTACGACAACCCGGACAAGAAGCGGGGCGGGCTCTGGTGGACCTACCTGCTGAGCCTCGTCTTCAAGGCGGCCGTCGACGCGGGCTTCCTCTACGTCTTCCACCGCCTCTACGAGGACTACAACATGCCGCGGGTGGTGGCCTGCTCCGAGTCGCCCTGCCCCCACACCGTGGACTGCTACGTCTCCCGGCCCACCGAGAAGAAGCTCTTCACCTACTTCATGGTGGCCACCGCCGTCCTCTGCATCTTCCTCAACCTCTGTGAGGTCTCCTACCTGGTGGGCAAGAGGTGCCTGGAGATCCTTGGCCCCAGACCCCGGGGATCTCGGCGCCGGCCTCACCTGCCGGAGACGTGTCCACCATATGCCCTCTCCCCCGGAGAGCACCCCCAAGATGGGAACTCTGTCCTAATGAAGGCTGAAATGACCACGGTTGATGCAGGTGGTTTTCCATAACCAGCGAGGTCGGCAGCTGAGACCACCAGAGCCTCTGCCTGCTCCGGAAAGCCACCACAGGGCAGGTGGGGAAGGCAGATGTGGAGCTCCATACACCCACCCAGGGACCAATGCTAAGAAGCAGTTTGGCCTCTGGGTCCTGAGCCCTGGGGGCAGCAGGTTGATAGCTGATGGGGACTTTTGTATGTGGCGATAGGGTATGTCAAGTCCTTAATAAATATGATTTTCTCAGTACTCTGCAGATCAGGGACAGGGAGGGATGGGAAGGAAAGTGGGGGAGAGGGGGTCACGATGGACCTTGGAGAGGCGGCCAAAACACTCAGTGGGCACCTGAGTCCTGGAACCTCAGATCCAGGTTTACCCATCACACACTCACACTCCCACCACACACCCCACAGAGCATGCCCCCAGGAGGTGGTGGGAAACCCAGAGGTTGATCCAGTGGTCTCTGGACTCTGCAACCAGCTGGTCAAAGCAGGAGGGGAGAGATCCTAGGAGATCCTGTGCCAGTATGAGTTGATGCCCCTCAGCTAAGTGCACATGGCTTCCCGATCCTGGCCTCCCTAACCCTGCCCAGCACAGGTACCCAGGGATGAGACCTTCGGAGGGTGAGGGGGAAGGCCTGGCGTGGGTAGGACGGCAGTGAGAGGGAGTCCTGGATGGGGGCATCTGCCTGCATGTTTAAGAGGCCCATCCCCACGGGCCAGGACCCATGGAGCACCTCCAAGCTGATAGGTTCCTCACGAAGCCTTAAGGCTGAGGGATTTTCCTTCTCTTTACTGAATACACAATCCTTCCACCCTACGCACACCACTCAGACCTCGACAGCTCCTGAAACAGCTGGACTAGCTCGAGAGCCAGCACCCACACCAGTTTGAGTCACGGGACAACCCTCTGGGAGACCCCTAGGCCCCTCCCATTCAGCAACCCCTAAGGTGACCATGTCATCTTTCCCCAAACCTGCTCTCCTCCCGACCACCCCCCCAACACCCCACCATGAACAACACTGCCACCCACCCAGTTGTCCGAGCCAGGAACTGGTCTGGCATCCTCCGCCCCTCCCCACCTCCCAGCCCCTCACGGCCCGCATCTCAGAGCAGCACCAAATCCTGCAAATTTAAGTCCCTAAAAATTTCCCGAGTCTGCCTCTCCTCTCCCACCCCATAGCCTTACCCCTCCCACTGGGCCTCTGCCCCTGCCCCCCTCTACAAGGACAGAGTGGTTGTGTACGAATCTGACATCATTCCTCCGGCTTTGAAAGTCCTTCCACTATGACCACCATCCCCATTGCCCTCCACCAGGCCCTGTTGACTTCCCCAACCTCACAACAACCCCCTCCTTTCTCCTGAAAAGTAAAAGTGGTAATCACTCAGTTGTGTCCAACTCTTTGTGATCCCATGAACTGTAGCCCACCAGGTTCCACTGTAGCCCACCAGGCTCCTCTGTCCATGGAATTCTCCAGGCAAGAATACTGGAGTGGGTAGCAATTCCCTTCTCCAGGGGATCTTCCTGACACAGGGATCAAACCCGGGTCTCCAGCATAGCAAGCAGATTCTTCACCATCTGAGCCACCAGGGAAGCCCCCTTTCTCCTGGTTAACACCAATAACACAGCAAAGGGCTTGAGGATCCTCAACCAGACACATCACGCTGGGTCGTGCCTCCAGCCTTCAGACATGCTGTTCCCTCTGCCTGGAATGCCCTTCCTCCCTCATCTGGGATGCTTCCTCAAACTCCCAGGGACAGCCTTAACCTCCTCCGTGTACCAGCCTCACCTGGACTCCAGCCACTCTCCCCAAATTGGAGGGGTCCATTCTCCCCATCCAGAGAAGGCAATGGCACCCCACTCCAGTACTCTTGCCTGGAAAATCCCATGGACGGAGCAGCCTGGTAGGCTGCAGTCCATGGGGTCGCGAAGAGTCGGACACAACTGAGCGACTTTACTTTCACTTTTCACTATCATGCATTGGAGAAGGAAATGGCAAGCCACTCCAGTGTTCTTGCCTGGAGAATCCCAGGGACGAGGGAGCCCGGTGGCCTGCCATCTATGGGGTCGCACAGAGTCGGACACGACTGAAGCAACTTAGCAGCAGCAGCAGCAGTTCTGCCCATCAGTCTGTGAGCCCTTTACACATAGGACGCTGAGTTATCCAGCTCCCCAGCTGCCTTCAATAAATCTTTGTTAAATGAGTAAATGGTCTATGAGCCGCTTGACAGAAGGGACCATGTCTCATTTATCCGAATCTGAATCCTCCACCACACCTAGCCCAGGGAGTTGAGCAAAGTGTTTCCTTGTTTGTGTGTCTTGTTGTTGTTGTTTTAATTAATCCAGCCTACAATATTTTAGCCACCTGATGTGAAGAACTGACTCACTGGAAAAGACCCTGATACTGGGAAAGATTGAAGGCAGGAGAAGGGGACGACAGAGGATGAGATGGTTGGATGGCATCACTGACTCGATGGACATGAGTTTGAGGAATTTCTGGGAATTGATGATGAACAGGGAAGCCTGGCATGCTGCATTCCATGGGGTTGCAAAGAGTCGGAAATGATTGAGCGACTGAACTGAACTGAAAATTTTTTGTTGTTTTTAAGTTAGCTCTTTTTGAGAACATATTTTAAAAGCAGTCTAGGAACATTTAGGACAACGAAATAATAAGGATACCGTAATTAAATGAATTCAAGACATCCTTAGGGGTACAGTTTTTACAGCCATCCCTTGGTATCCATGGAAGATTGGTTCCATATTTTTTTCTTTAACTAATTTTTATTGGAGTACAGTTGCTTTACAATGCTGTGTTAACTTCTACTGTAGAGCAAAGTAAATCAGTTGTAGGTGTACATGTTAATACAGCCCCTCTTTTTGGATTTCCTTCCCATTTAGGTCGCCACAGAGCAGTGAGCAGAGTTTCCTGTGGTACATAGTAGATTCTCACTAGTTATCTATCTTATACCTAGTAATGTATATTTGTCCATCTCCCAGTTCAGCCAACCCCTATCCCTTCCCCCAGTCTGAAGGTTTTTCAGTTCAGTTCAGTTCAGTCACTCAGTCGTGTCTGACTCTTTGCGACCCACAGCACATGATTTTTATAGGTGAGGAAACTTTGGCCTGGAGAGGAGAGGGGAACTTCCAAGTCCACAGGGTGAGCTGAATCTGTGGGGGGCTGGGTCCCCCATGACCCTTGGAGAGCCTCTATGCCCACCGCTGATTATGGGACAAGATCAGAGAGATCCCCCCGTCTTAGGTCAGGGTCCCTGGAAGCAGGGCCAGTGGCAGGAGTTTGTGTGTGGGTAAGGAAGAACAAAGGCAGCAGGATAGGGAGCGGGTGGAGCTGTGCAGAGTATTCTGGGAATTCTGGGTATTCTGTGTTCTGGGAAACTCAGTCTTGGCCTGAGCCCCATTGCATGAGGGGACCTTTGGATCATAAATGCCATCACACAATTGTCCCCCGGAGTAAAGAGCATCAGATTTTGGAGCTCTCATAGCTGTCAGTCATTGGTTTCAGGCTATCCCAAGCAGGAGGGCTGGTGGGGAAGGGTTGATGGCGCTCACTCAGTCAAGGTCAATTCTCTGGGGGAAGCTACAAGCCATGAGTGGATCTCTCCCAGGAATGAGGGCGTGGGTGGGGCACCAAAACCATCCACTGACCACGCCACCCCAGGAAACAAGATGGCCCCCACCACCAAACCAGACCAGAGCTGTGACCACCCAACCCCAGAGAACAGGATGGCCATCTCAACCAGCTCAGAACCAGACGGCCCCACACTGCTCGGCCCAAGGCAGCTCCCGCATGTAGACCTGCAGACCTGCCATAGACAACTCCGTCTGAGATTCCAGGCTCCCTACTCCAGGGGCTTCCAGGTCCAACACAGGCAAGAGCATCACAGATCCTTGACTAACCCCACACCAGTCCTTTTCATGGACGCTCTTCCCAGAGGTCTTTAAGTCCCAAGCCACTGAGCCCAGCGGAGATGAAACAGCACCTGACCAGCCATCATTCTCTGTCCTTCCACCGCCATCTTCCTGAAAACTCTTCCTTCGCTTTGGTCCTGCCATCTTTCTCCTCCACCCTCTGCCCACCCCCATAGCCACACCTACTTCTCATTCACTAAGGACTGGAGCATGTGACTGTGGTCTTCTGGTATTCTCTCACAGCCCACGGCCGCAGGGACCACTCATGTGTCACTCTGCTCTCTTCATTCCATGCCAGCCTCGTGGCCTGGGACTTCCTCCTCCACTCCATTTAGCTGGCCACTCACAGGACCACAACCCGGACCTGTCTTCCCCCAGAACTGCTCCACCTCTAGAATCTTCCATTCAGTTCAGGTCGGTAACTATTTGTGTGACGGGTCCTGTGTCAGTTACACAGGATTTGTCTGGGAAGAATCAGGCAACAGTCCCTGACCTCATGGAGCGTATATGCTGTGAAGAGGATGGCTAATGAACTTGTGACATGCTGGGGAAGCCGGGCAGGGGGGACGGGGAGGGCCAGTGGTGGCTGGGGAAGAGGGAAGGGGAGGGGAGTCAACATTCAGGCACCCAGCAAAAGCTTCCCTGGGACTTCTTAAACTGACACCTGGAGAAAGACGAAGATCTTGCCAAACAAAGAGAGA